TATAATTTTATTGCGATTTTAGGTGCTTGTCAGATATAACACCCTCCGAATTTTGTACTTTTTTTATATCACTCGAAAGCATACATCGAAATAAGTATTTCAAGCCAAAAAAAAGTGTGGATGATCCATAATTTAATGAAAAAATAAACATCTAATTATTGCTACACCAGGCTACTTTCTATGCGAAAACTCCTCCAAATTTTGTCGGCGTTGCCAGATTCATTCATTTCTTCTTGAAAGGTTCATTAAAAAAACACGTGCTGGTCGGAAGAAAACTCGCGTTAAGAACAGATTATAAATTCTTTTAAAATCAAGAAAAGGCTTTTTTTTATTAAAAAAATGTTAATCACTTGATTAAAATAAAAAAAACATAACAAAAGATTAACACCCTCAACGAAAAGGTTGAAACCAGCGCAATCAAAACTCTTTCGGTTTCAACTCTTTTTTTGTATCATGTAACGTACAGTACATCTGTATGCAGCTGGATCTGTGTCTATGACAGGAATGCGGACAAAAAACATTTAAATATACAGAAATATATTTTATACGTCGACTTGACGAGTACGTACTTCTAATCGCTCCGCCCACTCATTTTATTGGCTACTTGCAAATTTGTCGAATTTTTATTGATGGGACGCGTCGTCTAATTTTTTACGAAAAACATCGAGAGAATATCGTTTCCCCTCTCACGGATACCCCGTAGCTACAGAACAAACAGACGTACTGTACCGTATGATCGAAAAAAAAACGGCGTCAGCCATGGCTATGGAATGAACATCGCTGTCATTTTATATGTAAAACTAAATGGGGAATGTCATCGATCGTCATTTCCAAGCCAACTGGACACCGTTTTTTTTTCGATCATACGGTATTATGTATCATACAAATATGGAGTGTAGAGGTTTGGTTTACCTCTACACTCCATACATACAAACAAGAAATAACTTTGGCAACAATGCTTATGCAGCTTAGTGCGGCGTTACACGGTCCGTTTTTGCAGGTTCCGCACTGCGGATCCCGTTTTGCGGTATGGCAATATCGCATGAGATGGCATGGCAGATGTAACACCATCCGTTTTTGCGGGATGTGCGGCGACATGCTGCCGCAATGCAGGATTGCGGGATGCGGGAACCTTGGTGACGACACAGTCAGTTGAATGTAAACTGTAGCACGGTACGTTTCTGCGGTATGCCGCTTTGATCGCGAAAAGCAAAATATGTTTGATACGGACCAATTTATCGAGCTAATTCGTGGGCTACCTGCCCCTTGGGACAAATCAAACTCTGAATATTCCAACAAAGACGCACGACAAAGGGCATGGGTGAATCCTCATTGTCGTGTTTTGTTTCGTGATGCTCGGTCTCAATATTTCAAGCAATACATCAAAAGATTTTTGAGACATCCGATAGTAGCCAAAGAATTTATCATTGTACTTTCGAATTTTAGAATAAAATTTTCAAATCTTCGTCTTCTTTCGCGTTCGGAATTAAAAGGATGAACCCAGGTTTTACGGCATTTCGGCTCTCGTAATAAAAATTTCGGCTCTCGTAAATAAAATTAAAAAATAAAAATTCTCGTAAAAAATACGGACCGTGTAACGCCGCACTTACATTCTTAACATCTAGTGACAGACAGCTCCGGCGGCAAGTTTGAATCGAAAGAGTAAATCGATCAGGCAAATATTACAAAAGATATTACCAACTCTATTTTTAATTTATGACTTATTAATGCTTCTCAATGATTAATTCTGACCTTTATATTAATAAAAAATGCATATAATCGTCATATTTTACAATAATTACACGCATATACAACTTCACCATAACCTGCACACATAAAAATGCACTTTTAATTTATTTATTTTTCAATAAATTATGGTTATTTAAGTGTATGCTTTTGACTGATATATAAATAAATGCCAAATTCGGAGGGTGTTATCAGGGGGGTGACAGTAAACCGGAAAATTGGAAACAGTTCTGGCGCGGTCTTACCCAGGCAGAAAGCATGGCCTTCTAGACTGTCCTAGACAAAAATCTGAATATTTCTATATGATTTCTGTCAATTTCAATTACGGAACATTTTTATGCACGTCGGCGTCCTCTTCTTTTGTCTGTGTGTCAGCCATGTGTCAACTCCCGAGGCCTCTCGCAAGGTCGGGCGCCATTTTAATTTTTGCCGTTTTAGATTTGAATGGAAGTTTGTTTATGATATTTCGGCTGAAATTTATAAGTACAAAGATATTTTTTGATATAAAGTTCCTTGTTAACACTTTAATAAAGTATATATGATATTAATTACATGAAGAAAATGATGAAATCGACGTTTCTGCGTGTAGTAGGTATGGGCCATATTTTATGTAAAAATAGGTATAATAAATTAACTGTTTTTATATTTTTTTAGCTTTCAATCCAAGGATCTTGGGATATTCTTTACCAAGGATTTTTCCGTATCTCTACTTTTAAAGACTGATCGGTGATTTTGAGCAATTGAGAGCAAGTTACACAAGGTAAATTATGATTACTGAACTATTATTATCCTACAGCCTATATTAATTATCTACAAGATGAACAGAAATGCGTAATTACATATCACATAGGTACCTATTATGTATTTTCATAGCAATAATGCTATGTATGTAGATTATTTTTAAAATACAAATGAGGTATTAGATGCATAGGTATCATATTTTTTATTCATTTTATTTTCATTCAAGTCCTGTTTGATTTAATTCATAACAGTCTTATGTACCTATATTTATGTTTTTTTTTACATATTTTTTTTTGATTCCAGGTTTTGCGTGGGTTCCTGTTGTCTTTCTCCTGCTTCCAGTTAGTTTTACGCCCGTGAAGCTGTGAAAACATTTATTCATCTTCAAGTTTCTGTAAGTCAGTGCATTGTTTCTTTACTAATTCACTTTAACACAGCATCTCTGATGTTATTTAAATATTTTGATATTGATACAGTAGTTTATGGGTTTATAGCTCTTTAATTGTGTAGATTTGCATATTTACATTGTTCTAAATTCCAAATAAATATTTTTGAGTAATTTTGTTGTATTATTTACTACTAGAAAAAGTAAAAAGTATATTAACCCTCATTTAAACCTCCTGAACAGCCCGCCATTAAAAACCGGAAACGGAAATAAATTTCATAAAATTGAAATTGTCATGTCAATGAAGTGTCTATGTCATGTCAAATCATGTCAAATGTCCCAGCCGCCATATCTGAAAATTAGTTACCCAGGCAGCCACGCTGTTTCCATAATTTAACATTGACTTGACACCAGGGGGGTGACAGTAAACCGGAAAATTGGAAACAGTTCTGGCGCGGTCATACCCAGGCAGAAAGCATGGCCTTCTAGACTGTCCTAGACAAAAATCTGAATATTTCTATATGATTTCTGTCAATTTCTGTTACGGAACATTTTTATGTGCGTCCTCTTCTTTTGTCTGTGTGTCAGCCATGTGTCAACTCCCGAGGCCTCTGGCAAGATCGGGCGCCATTTTAATTTTTGCCTTTTAGATTTGATTGGAAGTTTGTTTATGATATTTCGGCTGAAATTTATAAGTACAAAGATGTTTTTTGATATAAAGTTCCTTGTTAACACTTTAATAAAGTATATATGATATTAATTACATGAAGAAAATGATGAATCGACGTTTCTGCGTGTAGTAGGTATGGGCCATATTTTATGTAAAAATAGGTATAATAAATTAACTGTTTTTATATTTTTTTAGCTTTAGATCCAAGGATCTTGGGATATTCTTTACCAAGGATTTTTCCGTATCTCTACTTTAAAGACTGATCGGTGATTTTGAGCAATTGAAAGCAAGTTACACAAGGTAAATTATGATTATTGAACTATTATTAGCCTACAGCCTATATTAATTATCTACAAGATGAACAGAAATGCGTAATTACATATCACATAGATACCTATTATGTATTTTCATAGCAATGATGCTATGTATGTAGATTATTTTTAAAATACAAATGAGGTATTAGATGTATAGGTATCATATTTTTTATTCTTTTTATTTTCATTCAAGTCCTGTTTGATTTAATTTATAACAGTCTTATGTACCTATATTTATGTTTTTTTTTACATATTTTTTTTTGATTCCAGGTTTTGCGTGGGTTCCTGTTGTCTTTTTCCTGCTTCCAGTTAGTTTTACGCCCATGAAGCTGTGAAAACATTTATTTATCTTCAAGTTTCTGTAAGTCAGTGCATTGTTACTTTACTAATTCACTTTAACACAGCATCTCTGATGTTATTTAAATATTTTGATATTGATACAGTAGTTTATGGGTTTATAGATCTTTAATTGTGTTATTTGCATATTTACATTGTTCTAAATTCCAAATAAATATTTTTGAGTAATTTTGTTGTATTATTTACTACTAGAAAAAGTAAAAGTATATTAACCCTCATTTAAACCTCCTGAACAGCCCGCCATTAAAAACCGGAAACGGAAATAAATTTCATAAAATTGAAATTGTCATGTCAATGAAGTGTCTATGTCATGTCAAATGTCCCAGCCGCCATATCTGAAAATTAGTTACCCAGGCAGCCACGCTGTTTCCATAATTTAACATTGACTTGACACTTCTTCTTGTATTTATTATTTTATGGGTGTTATATCTGACAAGCACCGCGATTTTATATTGGTATAGGTAGGTGTAGGTAAATAATCCAAGTTTATAATACTACCACAATACTACTCCAAGAATTATTGAAACATTCAAACACTTAAATAAAACAGGACTATTAAAATATGGAGAACTCTTATGTATGTAAGAATATATAAACAAGGGTAGTAGTACCTGTACCTACCCACAGTATTAAAAATTGCGCAATCGATTGAAAAAGTAATTTTTTATAAACCAAACTTTCTTAATAAACCTATCAACTGTGATTTTATTAAAATCACTTAAAATCATTTTAAGTATTAAACTAAAATTTACTTAAGTTATATCTACAAATTTTAAACTATACTTACCTAAATTTGAATTAAATAACACACTTTAGGCAGTTCGGAAAATATTAGAAACCATAACAAACTGTTAAATTAAAAATTGACAACCGAGAGATATTGCCAAACAGAAATCTGTCATTTATTGATGGCCTCATCCAGAGCCATCTAATAATTACATTTCATATTAAAGTATTTTTAGTTGCCTAACTTGTTTTTTTAAAATTTAATATATTTTTAAGAATATTTTTTTTCGTTTTATTTTAGTTATATATCAGGAATTAGTCTACTAGGATTGCCAGCTGAAATGTATACATATGGTACTCAGTTTTGGATGATCCTAACATCAGAAATATTAGTTTCTTTAGTTATGGCTTATGCATACTTACCTGTTTTCTATACGCTTCAAATAACGTCTAGTTATGAAGTAAGTACCTATTTTATTATGAAATGATGTAGTACCGTATGATTGAAAAAAAAAACGGCGTCCATTTGGCTTGAAAATGAACATCGATGACATTTACCACATAATTTTACATAAAAAATGACAGGGCTCTTCATTTCATAGCCCTCGCTGACTCCGTTTTTTTTTCGATCATACGGTATTATTAGTCATGTATGTATGACTGATTCTTTGTTCTATATAAAGGGCAATAAATAAGTCAAGGAGACATTACCAAGAGAGAAAATACATTATTAAGCAACAAGCAACATTTTTCGCCACTTTAAATATCAATCAAAATCAATATTCAGAATAAAAAACTACCAAGAAAAATAGTGATTTTTACAACAAGGCATTTCGTCATAAAGACGATGTTTTTCAATAATGTGGGATGATCTACAAGTTATTATCAACTTTGTCGAATTAATTCAGGAGTCAAAACTATGTTTATACGACTATAATCGACCAGACTACAGCAACAAAAATGCTCAAGATGCAGCCTGGAACGTAATTTCTAAGGAGGGATGCATCCAATATCATCTTCTTTACATATTATTTAAGTGTATTAATTTAAGTACGTCTTCGTCTTCTGAAGATGACATTTTACTAAATAAACAAACACCTTATGCCAGTTCTTCTATTTTTTGCCACCTCATTATGCTGGGAGAGCGCCCACAGAAGTGGCCGAGGCTTATGGCGTGGCAGTGGTATGGTTGCGGCGTGGTCGCGATCTGGTGTTTTAACGCATACTCAGGTGACAAAAAATAGAACAAGATCCAGCATAAGGTGTTTGTTTATTTAGTAAAATCTCGTCTTCAGAGGACGAAGACGTACTTGCATTAGTGCACTTAAATAATATGTAAAGAAGACGATATTGGGTGCATCCCTCCTCAGAAATTTCGTTCCAGGCTGCATCTTGAGCATTTCTGTTGCTGTAGTCTGGTCGATCATGGTCGTATAAACATGGTTTTGACTCAATTAATTCGACAAAGTTAATAATAGCACAGATTAGGTACCTATCCTATAAGTATACAGATAAAAATCTTGTCCCTAATTTGTGGTACGAAAATTGTGTTTTTATGACGATGAGCAAACGAGTAAATAAAGACGAGTAAAAGTGGGCGTGCTTGTGCGCAAACTAGTAACCTAACTAGTGCGCGACTCCGAAAATTGGAACCACGAAAAACAATGCTTTTGATGATAAGTTTATAATCTGTATAATCTTTGATAATTGTTTGTAGATCGTCCCGCAATATTGAACACAACACAAGTCTTTATTACTATTACGAAATGCCTTGTACTGAACGGGCTCGCCACGCCGCTTTCAATGCGCCACTAGTGTTCACAATATGGTATGCCTGATCTGCACCTCTCCTGCGTCATCTCGTTTTTTTTTTCTTTTTTTTTGTGAGGGGTGGTTTAAAAATCTTTTATAGACGAATAGTGGTCATTTCCATGACAATCTCGAGAGAAACGGTCATAGAAATAACCCCTAGACAGTGTAGGATTCGAGATACCCACTAAAAACGATCCACCTCCGAGGAATCAGCCGCCGAAGAATTGCGGCTCTTATTCCTGCTTATGTGTTGGGGAAGGGAAGGGGCAAAGCCCTGGGTGCCTGAAGGCTAGTATTGGGATGCGAGATTTAGGAGCGACTGGACGATAAGTCCAGAAGAGTTTTGTGATAGTCCGGTAGACAATTTTGGGAGGGGGATTTGGTACCGAAATGGAGATCATAGAGGGTAACATACTTGTAAGTATGTTTGAAACCATGGTTTTGACATGACTAGCTACTTGTTCAAGTAGTTGTTTATGGAGTTCTTGGTTTATTGAAGAGATGGGTAGGAATGACTCAGGGGTATTTCCTGGAGGCGAGTTGTTGAGATTGCTTTTGAGCACTGAAGCATAAACTGTAGGATTAGGAGGGATAGGAGTCGAGACCTTTGAGGATTCCGGCTGACTTAGGATGTTAGTATTGGGATTACGATTTCTCGGATTTTTTGAGCATGAATTGTGGCTAGCTGGATGCGGACCTCTGCAATTTGAACAAATTGCAGGCGCATCAGCCTCTTTATCACAGGATTTGGTGTGATGGGATTTGGCGCACCTCACGCAACGCGGGGCCGCAAAGCAGTTCGAGGCGGCATGGCCGAATTGCTGGCAATTGTGGCACTGACGTACCCCCGTTACCCCATTACCGCGCCTCGGCGTCGCCACCCGAACCCTTAGCGAGCCCACATGCGTGATGTCGAAGATGTGGGTTTGATGTTTGGGTACTCTGACCTTGACGACGGCCATAGGAATACCGTCTCGTGAGAGACGATGCATTTCTCTGACCTCGAAGCCTTGGGAAGTAAGGTCCTCAATTATTGCCGAGTTGTCGACAAAAACTTCAACACCTTTGATTAGGACATTTAGATCCCTGTCATCAGGGGAAAAATAAGTATGAAAGGGTATTTTCTTGCTTTTGAAATAGTCGACGATGGCCCTATGGTCATCAGAAGAAGAGGGAGTGATTCTAATGCCGAGAGGCACAGTTTTTGCTTCAGAAAAGCAGATTTTCTGCTCTTTGAAAGTTCTTGTGATACTCATCCAGAGACGGGTATCACGAAGTACGACTTGAGGAGGCTTTTTGGGCCCTTTGCTTTTAGATTGAGGCTCCTGCTGTGTTTGAGGAACAGCAGGGGGGGTTTGGGTTGGGACGCCTGTTGCGTTTGAGGAGCAACAGCGGGAGGGTTTACGATTTTTGGGACCTGAAGTTCCGGGCAATCGGGCTTTTTTATATCGGGATTTGCACCTGATGAAGTTGTGCAGGGTGGGGATGATGGACGAGCTGGGGGTGCCTCCCTTGAGGCTAACTTTATCTCTGGGATCGGTGATGACGCAAGAGACTCGTCAGTACTGGCCTGACGCGTCTTCTTACTGATCACGTTTCTACTCAAGTTTATTTCATTATGACTGATTTTATGACGCTCAAGAATTGAACGGACTAAATTTTTCTTTTCTCTAAAGAAATGATAGGAGTAAATTAGGTCTTGAATTTCGTCAGGGGAGTAATTCCTTGACCGATCAAGCCTGATGAAAGGTTCAGGAAGGGTTGCGATCTTGCGATCGACAGGAAATAGTATGGGTTTGGAATCTGAATATAAGGAATCTGAATCTAAGAGAGTTTTTCTAATCTGGGGAGATTAACCTTATTTTTCTTGGGAGCCACGATAGGCGATTGGGAAGAAGGATAAATGACCCTTGGAGAGGGCCGTATTAAGCGGAGCTTGCTCTGAAGAATCGAGCAAGCTTGTGATGAAGGGAAGCACTTACCGAGCGCGAAACACTATAAGAGCTGCGATGTTCACTGAACGATGCGCGGTACTCGAATGCTGTGAGTAATGTACGTCGTCACGCCGTTGACTATACTGATGGTGATGATTGATCGCTACGAATTGACTGATGACTGGTCATCTCGGTGGGCGTTTCCTAATTTATTTACACTGGCATTGCCATCGCCACGCTCCACAACCACACCACCGCCATATCTACGCCACTTCTATGGGCGCTGGGCCTTATAAAAGTATATATAAAATATGGGCCACGCCATAAGACTCTACCACTTCTGTAGGGCGTTAAAGGGGCATACACGCACGATTTCATCTACATGCCAAATCAAACAGTTCAGATCTTAGGACCAAATCGATAGCGATCTCTTCACACTACACCTTCATATTTTATAAAGGATAATTTCGTCTGTATATACATAGTCTACAGGCAATATGAGAGATTTGAATTTTCTGTATCTACAGGGTGGTCGAAATTGGTCTGTTTTAACAGAGTAAATCTATTTCCTGACTAGATAGAGCAAAACCGACATAAATGTCATGGGCTCGTTTTCTGAGACACGTTTAATAGCCTGTTTAATCGCCTGTAGATATTTTCACTGCCAACTGAGATACGGGGTCTTTTTGAATTTTTTACCATTTGGAAAATTGCTCATTACTTTTGTATTTCGCGGAATAATAAAATTCTGTAAAAACGTTCTTAAGGCACTTTTTAAGCACAATTCAGTGGCGTAGTCAGTTTTTTTCTATACTTGCTCTTTTTGTCAGAAATGATAAAAAAAATAATTTTTTAAATGGAAATCATAGTTGGCTATGACCTCAAAAAAAAAATGCTGGCGTTTAACCCTTTCCAACGATATAAAGTTACGTTAGATTACGTTGTATTTATTTCTAAAAATGAGAGAAATGTTTAGGTTTTTTATCTTTGTATCGAAGCGGGCCTTGATTTTGTTTTGACCTAATTGCCTAATTATTTTTTATCACAATTTAATATTCTATATTTTTATTTATCTGCATAATTAAAGACTTTTGAAAAGGTAAATCAACATTCTATATTAGTATTACAAATTGTAATTAAAACACCAAGGCAAAGGCCAAGGTTACAACTGAATTATTAAATGGAGAATTTGGAGAGAATTGGATTGGAAAAAGGGGCCCCATATCTTGGCCTGCTAGAACCTCTAATTTAACCCCTTTCGACTTTTTTATGGGGGAAATTAAAAGACCTTATATATAAGAGAAGAACCGAGAAGGACGAGAGAAGAATTGCAGAAGGCTACAAGTACGTCTGCTGCATCTGTATCTATGAAAGGAATGCGGACAAAAAACATTTAAATAAACAGCAATATATTTTATACGTCGACTTGACGAGTACGTCACCGCAAATCGCTCCGCCCACTCATTTTATTGGCTACTTGCAAATTTGTCGAATTTTTATTGATGGGACGCGTCGTCTAATTTTTTACGAAAAAATCCTCTCTCACGGATACCCCGTAGCTACAGAACGGACAGACGATGGGACAGACGTACTGTACTAGGCAAGCTTTTGGACTTATTACACCAGTTCGCCTAATAAATCGCTGTAACTCTGTGCGCAAAAGATTCAAGAAGGAGGTGTTGTTTGAACATCTTTGAGGTTTTACTTAAAAAACTACATTCGTCACTCAAAAATACGTTTTTTAGTTTTGTTCTTAGTTTATTATACTGATTTCAATTGTAATTAATAATATAGAATGATAATTTACATTTTCAAAAGTCTTTAATTATCCAGATAAATAATAATATAGAATAACTATAAATTGTGATAAAAAATAACTAGGCAAATAGATCAACACAAAATCAAGGCCCGCTTCGATATAAAGATAAAAAACCTAATATTTCTCTCATCCTTAGAAATAGATACCCATATAACTTTATATCGTTGGAAAGGGTTAAATGCCACCATTTTTTTAAGTTCATAGCCAACTATGATTTCCATTTAAAAAATTATATTTTTTATCTTTATTCTGACAAAAACAGCAAGTATAGAACAAAACTGACTACGACACTGAATTATGCTTAAAAAAGTGCCTTAAGAACGTTTTTACAGAATTTTATTATACCGCGAAATAAAAAAGTTATGGGCAATTTTTAAAATGGTAAAAAATTCAAAAAGACCCCGCATCTCAGTTGGCAGTGAAAATATCAACAGAAGGTTTACGCCACTAAACATGTCTCAAAAATCGAGCCTCAAGATACTCAAAAATCGAGCCTATCTGTCGGTTTCGCTCTATCTAGTCAGAAAATAGGTTTTCTCTGTTAAATAGTGGCAGTTTCGATAAAGATCTCATCAAAGAGATGAGATCGGCGATATTTCATGAATATTTTAACTGCTCAGACCACATATTTGGCAGAATCTGTTCATCGTTACGTGTAGAGCCTCTTTAATACAGTTAAAGAAAACCGAGGAAGAAAACTCACCCGTAGGAAAACTCACCGAGGGAAAAAGTTTCTAAATAAACTAGGCACTAGGCTACCATTTTGTTTTTCAAATCGTTACATAAGTTTTTCTTAAAAAAAATACTCGTTTTATAATATAAAAGCGAAAAATATGAAAATATCTCACATTAGTACTTAAAGACACTAGAGTTTTCATTTTTACAACATAAAATAAGTTTTTTTTAACCATCTTTGTACCGCGATATCTTCGTAATGAGGGACTTTTGAACTAACCATCATGTTACAAACAACTCCTTATTTTGAGCAATGACCTATTTAAGTTTTTTGCATTTTTTAAACATCCTGTATGATATGCTAATGTTCGTCAAACACAGCAGATGAGAAATATAGCAGACCAGTTTCTTAGCACAATTTTTATGCTTCATTTTAATATCATTATGAAAGAGTATGTCATCATTACATTGTATTTTACTTTGGAATAAAAATATTATAATGAATTTCCAATAAAAACAATAAAGCGAATACACAACATAAATAATGGGATTAATTTTTCGTATTATCCATTAAATAGTCTTAATAGTATATTTTTTGTGAATGTTAAAGTTCATAATATTCATTTTAATAGTTCTTCTTTTAAGTACCTCAACCTTCGGTTTAACAACACCGTTCGACTATTGGGATCCATTCTTTTCCTGACAAAAATGTTGCTATATATTCCTATAGTAATCTATGTTCCAGCCCTAGCTTTCAGTCAAGGTATGGTAAATTATTATTATATTATATTTGTTTTTATTTCTGAGTCTATAGTGTAAGACTCAGAAATTATCAGTAAATACTTATATTGTCCAATTTTTTATATTAGTTATTGAAATACATATTCTACAGATAATAATAAAAATAAATAAAAAAGTTCGTATAAATTTATATCCTAAAACGCTTACTTTCGGAGGTACAGGGTGTAGAAGTTCCATTTGTATTTCTATTTTTTCCAAATAATTTAAGTAATTGTCAACATTTGGATGAAAATTGTTGTCTGGGAGTTTTTCACATGAGAGATTTGATTTTGATGTCAATATGACTCGTCTTTGTCGGGGCGTCACCTACATGTATATTAACTGCTGATTAAAACTACTGAGTGAAAAAATATACATTTCAGTATTTTTCAACGTAAAAAAATGTCCCTTGGTAAAAATCGCTACGAGCAACCGTTCTGCAGATATTTGGAATGGAAATGGTCAATACATATCATTACTGACAAAAAATAAACATGTTGAGTAGATAGGTATTTGACGGAAATTATACATTTGGGAACTTTTTATTTTTAGCCGACCATACCAACAGGTATGGTAGGCTATTAAGTTCGAAAAAAAAAGTTTTTTTAATTTCACTCAAAATGAGTTATTTGGGTTTGGTTTGATAAATGACCTAAATACAAAATATTTTCATGGTGTATGTCTGTCTGTCTGTCCGTCTGTTAGTCTGTCCGTCTGTCCGTCTGTAACACGATAACTCAAAAACCGCTAAACCGATTTTAACCAAATTTGGCACAAAAATACTGTGCCACCCGAGAATCTGGTCATTAGTTTTTGGTGGAGGTGGGGGGTTGGTAAGAGGGTATGGGAGAGGATTAAAAATTTTAAAAAATCGTAACTCCAAAATTACAGTAGCTAGCGAAACGTGGTTTTTAATTTAAGATTAGGAATAATATCTGCAACAAAATTTGTAATAACATCAAAATCAAAGTCGCAGTTTTTGAGATAATTGATTATTAACATATTTTAGTATGGGCGGCTATACGTGCCTCCCGGCGCCAATTTTTAAGATTAATCTTAAAAAATTATGATAAAACAGCTTCTGTTGAACTTTTGGCATAAAACATTTCAATTTATTATTTTAATCTAATAACTATTTAGTCAACATGTTTAATTTGTGTCAATGATGACAAGTATTGATAATGTCGATTCCAAATATCTCGAGAACCAGTACTCGTAGCGATTTTTACAGACATTTTTAAGATAAAAAAAACATCGTAAATGTATATTTTTTAACTAAGTTTTATACAGGTACGAACGAAAAGTTATTACTCTTCAAACCAGTTAAAGAATATGTAGGTGACGCCCTCTACAAGTAGGCGTCATATTGACATCAAAATCAAATTTCTCATGTCAAAAAACTCCCAGACACCAATTTCCATCTAAATATTGACGTTATTTCAGAAATTATTGGGAAAAAATCGAAATACATAAAATGAAACTTCTACAACAATTTTCATCCAAATATTGACATTTGACTTAAATTATTTGGAAAAAATAGAAATAAAAATTGAACTTCTACACCCTGTATCTCCGAAACTAAGCCTTTTAGGACATATATTTACACGAACTTTTTTCTATACTTATTTTTATCTGCAGAATATGCCGCCGAAGTTTCCGGAATACAGTTCGGACCACCCTGTATATAAACGTATATAAGAATCAGAATTATACAGCGTGTCAAAAAAATAGTGTATCTTAACTTCGGTGGGTAATTCTACCGTTAAAAATTCAATAAAAAAAAAAGAAAAAGTACTTTCAAGGAATTTCTACAGGAAAGAGATTCTACTGGTCGTACTTTTTATCCTTATAGATACAGTAATTTCAACAAGTGACATAAAAAGCTAGTACTTTCTTACGTAAAAAAGGTGCTCTTCATTTAGTTTGATATGGTGAAGGGTTTTCAAGATATTGGGGTTTAACTGTTACGGTGTGTCGATTTTAGTGTTAGTGAAATGATAAAATGTAATGAAATTATAAATAAATTAATCTCATGATTTCTCTAATACTAAAATCGACGCATCTTAACCTTTAAACGAAAATATCATGAAAACCGTTTACCATATCAAATAGCACCTAAATATAGCTAAATAGCACCTTTTTACGTCATTTGTTGTTGAAATTACTGTATCTACCGTATGATCGAAAAAAAAACGGCGTCAGCGATGGCTATGAAATGAAGATCGCTGTCATCATGATAAATTATATGGGGAATGTCATCGATGTTCTTTTCCAAGCTAATTGGACACCGGTTTTTTTTTTGATCATACAGTATAAAGCTTGATTTTCATGCATCCGTTGTCCGACGATACGATGATACGATATTAATTTTATTGGTTGAATTTAAAGACTTCGATTGGTTAGAAACGGTTAACCAATCGAAGCCTTTAAATACAGCCAATAAAATTAATATCGTATCAAAGTATCGTCGGAAAACGGATGCATGAAAATCAAGCTTAAGGATAAGGAAAGTACTACCAGTATTACTCTCTACCAATACGTACGGTACTTCCCATTAGGGAAGTACCGTTTTAGGGCTGTTACGAAATTTTACACTAACGTCATTTCCTTTGGCATTAAAATGTGTGGAATAGTACTAAATTTCAAGAAAAACGGTTTACCAATATGTTTAATAAACAATTTTTTTTATTTACTTTTTCGAGTGGTGTCACTTCTTCGGAAAGCATTTTAGGCATATATTCATAGGAACTTTTTGTTTTATTTTTATCTGTAGAATTACGCACCGAAGTTAAAAACACTATTTTTTGACACACTCTATATTATGTTATTCATACATATTTAGAGGCCATGGTATTCGCTGTTTTGTCACAAATCATTCTTCTACACATTCTACACTATTTTCTAATACTAACAGAAATAGTTTTACTCTTAATTATTTTTTATTTCATTTTTAGTAACTGGAATCAATCTACATCTCGTTACTCCGGTCGTCTGCATAGTTTGCATTTTTTACACAACTTTGGTAAGTACAAGCAAGTTATAGATAATAATCTACAATTTCCCTTAAGCTCTTTCGAAAGTCTGGCGAGCTAACCAAAGTTATTGGTATAAATGCCACGAGTAGAACAAAAATAACTAATGCCAGTCGGTCAAAAAATAGGAACGGTGATATTATGATTAGTAACGGCAATATTACTGATACGATCAAGGCTAGTAGCAGCATTATTAATAGAATGTCGTCTTCTTCGGTAAGTGAATACGGTCGTGCTAGAAAATCTTCGACTGTTTGTGATACGGCCCGATGGGGAGGAGTTTTGTTGACTGCATTTAAGTTTAATTCATCTTCGGTTACGTCTACATTTTCTTCTATTGTAATGCGTTCTTCTATGTTTTCTTTAGAATTCATTGAAATTTTAATGTATGTCAGATGAAAAGATGACAAGAATTTTGACAATAGCATAAGTTACTTGTCAATATTTATAACAATGCATGATCGAATATAGGGTGATTTTCAAAACCATCCCAATAACTTTTTTATTTTTTCAGATAAAAATGATATTTAGTATAATAGCATAGTAGAAGGAAAAGAGTAGTTGCACTCTCCCAAATATTTTCTGCCAGCTTTTACAATCTGTGGAATATCGGCAGATTGCAGAGCGTTTCAGTTGAGTTCCGTCCGTCGCGTCGACCTGCGAGGTTCGAGCGTTACGTCCCAGCACAGAGACAGGTTGACAAAAAATGAGTGCCTTACTGTGTGCTGCTATTGGTTCTATATTTTTTAATAATTTGGTTCTAGTAATAATTCAAAAAATTGTACTTTGAGTTTTTTTTTTGAGAGCCATTTGTGATCATGTTTGTGTTCAGGTTAATTTTCTCATGACTGATTACTACTTAATAATTTGATATTATTTTCATTAAAACCTGATTTTTTTATCGATTTTACTTTTAACAACCATCCCTTGTTTGCTGTTAAACGAACTGCACCATCATTGAACAAAAATTTGCTAGTACCGAAAGTACCGAAAAAAAAACTGGAAATCCCGATTCCTTAGAGGCATGGTACCAAAATTACCGGTTCCGGAAAAGCTATAACGTACCATAACCGTGAATCGCCCTATACAGAGTGAGTCTTAAATAAGTGGAAATATTTTTAGGGGTAGTATATTTTGGCCCCAGAAATATTTTCCCCAGAGGATTTTTCTGCGCACTTTTTTTTGAAAAAAAATCTAGATTTTATTTAGTTTTTAGTTAAATAACATAATTTCTTGATAATATGGTAACTAGGGTTCAGAACCGGAAATTCCCTGTTCTTTTGAGATATCAAAGAACCGGGACTCGAAATTATTAATTCCCGGTTCTTTCGGTACCTTCGGGAATAACTAAAAAATTATTCGTTTTTTACGTGAGAAAGTAGTGACACTATTCCTCATTGTTGTTGCTTTTTTTCTCTTTTGAAATTTCTGTAATGCTTATTAGCAATTGAAGAGTGGAAATACCAAAGGGGGTAAGTGCCAAATTTTTCAATATTAAGTTATTAAATGAGAAACGTAATAAATACTATGCTGCATGTCCTAACAAAAGTTACAAGTGCCAAGCGAAAGCGTCTATTGTTTACGTATTTATATGCATTTTAAAAATTTATTAGTTTCAGTTCTACTGTGTTTTTCTCATTTACCTCGAAAAAATAATTTTGGCACTTACGTCCTTTGGTATTTCCACTCTTCAATTATTGAAGTTTAAATATTTAATTTTATTAAATTTAGTACAATGTGTTGTTCAATGAATTAGTTGTCCAATAAAAATCACCTAACCAATATATTACTACAAAACAAACACTTTAATGCTAAAATTAAACTTGTTTAAAATTAAAAAAAGTTATAAAAAATCTTGGAAATAGGTAATAATATAAAAATATGGCATTATATATTTTTTCCGCATTTCTTCCCATCAGAAGACGAACACGAAATGTAAAAATATTCTATTTTATATTAATTTTTACTCGATGATCATTTTTTTTATTTTATTTTATTGTGAACTCATATTTTCCTAAATACATCTCTGTGAAACTATGGCGAGTGCAACGACATATAAAGAACGATATATAGAAATAACTGTATATGAAGAAGGTCATATAAAGTGGCATAAAAAGAACACAGGATTTGACAAGGAGTAAAGCTACTAGTTTTCTTATGTTATGATAATAGTATATCACATAACTCAGGATTGATGATCAGGATGTATTCAATTATAGTTTCGGTCACACTATTTCGCTGCAAATGAGTACTTTTGATTTTTAAATGGTACCCAAGTGGTACACTCGGAATTTTTTACTTTATTAGATAGAAAATGGCATTTTGAATAGAATGTCTTATCATATGTCAACTTTTCTCATTATGCTCGTTTGCGACCGCAATGATTTTCTTGACTACTCTTTTAGACTACTAAAAAAATATTATTCTTATCCACAAATGTAAGACATAAGTTCTATACCAAACATTTTTTTAAAACATAATTTAGATGAAATCTCAATTTCTCTCTTATTCATATTTCACCAGAATTAAGACATGTAGATCATACATTATGAAGTTATGAGAAGCGCTGTTTACATTTATATACAGCAATATCCGGCTTAGATGTAAAGCGGAAAGCGCATATAACGGTGATCAAATGTGTATGTATTAATGTTCTGTTAATTTCGGGAGTAAACCACACTGGATATGATTTCTTGGCGTGTTATTGAAAAGTGCTAGTTATTGAATCATAAAATTCTCGAATTAGCTCATCAGTACTATTACTCAAATAAGGCCAATCAATATTAAAGATGCTATCATAGAAAATTGGAAAATTAGCTTTTCGAGAAAATTAAACTTTCTGTCACATTTACCCTCTGGAAAGTTGGTGCCTCGACTGAGTGTATTTAAGTTTAAAATGATAGCCAAAGTTAGATCATCTTGATGAAAATGATAGCCTAAGTTAGTCATCTTCAGGAAATAGTGGGAAACCTCTTGATACAATACATTTGGTGTTTATTACAACCAACCAACATCTAAATAATGCCCAAATTTGTTCGCTACAGAGCTATGTAGAATGTAGAATGTAGAATGAGTAAGAGGGGGGTTAATCACTGCGACCTTAAAGATCTATTGTGCCCCCCAATCTATAACCCATCATACCCCTGTTGTAGAGGGGACAGGGTATTTCCCATCCTCCTCTGACAACAGTTCTTTCTCCGAGGGTACACACCCTTCCACGGTGTGCCGCTCTTTACAATCGAGGAGCTTGCCTCCGGCTGAGGAACCCGTGAGATGGAGGCTGGAGGATCTGTCTCCATTTTCTCCACCTCTTTAACTTGGTCTCTCCTTAGACCTGATACCGGTGTTGTCCCGTATCTATAATAGAGGATATGTCCCTCTTTTGCTATTGCCTCCTTGGATTTGAGGTCAATTCCTATTGTACCCATACAGCCACGGTACGTACTATGTACGTACCTGCTAGGTAATGTTGAGACGAACGTCAGGTTCCTGGTACGTACTAGTACGTACATAGTACGTACCGCGGACGTACATTTTCCAACGCTCTGTACGTCCCTGAGACGTGGCAATGTACGTACAATGTACGTACTATGTACGTACTACGTACATCCCAGGTACGTACAATTTATGTTTTGTTCCGGACCACAACTGGACGTAAAATGATCGAAAGTACGTACAATGTACGTACTATGGACGTACATTTTTCAACGATGTATACGACCTAGGAATTTAATTCAATGGAAGTCAGCTTAAAATATTTATTAATATAAAAACTCAGGTACAGGGTCATCCCATATGTCTTGATACACCCGTGAGTCTGGCTTCGGTCCGGCAACTACACCCTTAGCGCACTCTGTCTTTTATTCGATGTTGATAGATATTTTATTTTTTTATTCTCGAACTGCTTCTAACTAAAAAATACAAAAAGAAAACTAGGTATTCAAATATCTAATTCTTGCCTCTTTTTTGAAAAAATTGAATTGATATCGGAGTATCGGAGTAGGTGCGCACTCAGTGTATTGTTGTTTTTATTTTTTACGTTGATTAATAAAAGATGGAACTACACTGAGTGCGCACGTGCGCTCTAGCTCTGCCAATCGAAAACGCCATTATAAACCGCCCAACTTCCGATTCCGACAAGACTCGAATGTGAACGAATAACTTAGCGGGAAATTTAAACATAGCTGCATAATTTTCCTGTTAGGCTTGATTGCATAATATATTGCATTTTTAACCCATCAGATTTCTTCAAAGGCTGTCATGCATTATGGTCATTGGATAATTTAGGAAATCATTTTTTATAGCGGTCGGGTTAGATTTATTAATAAAAGAAGTAGAGGTAGGTTAGAGTGACTTGAATTAACGTTAGCCTAGAAAAGATCCACTGATCCAGTCCATTCTTTATTATTGGGTATATCTGACCAAAATAATCCAGTCATGATATTAAAATTAAATAACATTTTGTAATGCGTTTTCAAAAATTTTCAAGATACGTACGTAGTGCGTACTCACATGTACGTCCGTAGTACGTACTCGCATGTACGTCCGTAGTACGTACTCGCATGTACGTCCGTAGTGAAGTTCTACAATGTACGTAAATAGTACGTACATGGGGCACGTACTATGTACGTACATAGTACGTCCTTAATTGGTCCCGGGACGTACCAACGTAAAATGGACATAAAATGTACGTCCCTGAGACGAAGTGTGCTGTATGGGTAAGGATCTGACCATGACCCTCCTCCCTCGAGTTGATGTCTCGCCAACTCGATGTCCTTACATTGAAGTTCTGACCTTGGATAAGGCTCAGCAGGTAGGTGGTGTCTTTCCCCTTGCTCCTCGGCAGAAAGACCGTTATGGCCGCCCCTTTAGGGATGTTTTCTCCCTTCACTGCAACAGTTCCGGCCCTTGCCAATTTTTAAGCTTAGGTGTGATTTCCACCAACCAATTCGCCGATTCTTGAGATACACAATCTATGAGAATCATACCCACCCGAAAGTGTATCCTCGCAAAACGCAGCTGAGCCACATTTTGTAGATCGTTGTGTTGCGATCCGATCGCCACTACTTTGTCCAGTATAGCCTCCTCTAGAGACGTTTGCTGGTCGGTGGTCATAAAAACCTCTGGAAAATCCTTTGCCAGCACCGCCATTTTCACTTGTCCAGCAATAGCGGCAAAGCTGGTGATACGTCCCTGCTTGCCTCCCGGTGTTGGACGGCTTTCCATCCTGGCTTTTTTCTCTCCCTGCCGGTGTAGAGGTGAGAGGTTCTCGCTTCCTCTCTTGCCCTTTGATGGAGATGAGGTTGTTTCTTGGTTTCTTTACTCTCCCCTTTTCGGAGGAGTGTTTTCACTTTTGCTTCCTCTGGAGCAAGTCCTTCGTGGAGCAGTCGGAGGTATCTCCGTGTTTTTGCTCCGCTAAGACCTACTCTCAGAGGATCGTCTAGCCCGCCTGATTGATCCAGGCCGGGTAGACGAAACGGTAGCTTATGTCGCTTATTGGGTCTAGAGGTAGGCTCCCGACCCTTGCTGCAGAAGGTGGTAGCTTGTGTGCCACTTGTGGAGGATGATCCCAAGCAAGTGTGAGCCGCCCCTCCTGTAGTTTCCTTTGGATTTGGTCCTTTGGAACTTTCATTTGTAATGTTCCCAGTGTCGCTAGGGGCTTCCCCACAGCTTCACTGGTGGTGTTTTTAATACTAGATCTCATAGTGTTCCCACGAGTCGCTAGGGATAGTCGGTCCACTTCTGCAGAGCTCCCCATGCAGAAGTAAGGGGTAAAATACAATGGGATGCCCCCTGATGCCCCAAGCAGAGCTATATTTACAGAAAAAAAGCGGAAAAGTCATGCACTAGTGATAATTTACTAGAACGGTGTATATCAACTAATATCAAGTGTAGATGTATAATGTATATATATTAAAATCATCCATAACCATAACTTTCCCATAAAGAGCATAATTCCCATAATCATAACGGAGAGGTCCTCTAGTAGTTCAAAAAATAGTTTATACAGCGCTATTCCTGAGTTTGGAGGAAAATAGACTACTAACAAATTTAATGGTGAACGCGAAAAATGTACCCAGGATGCTAATAATAATATCGATAGATGATTTCTTGGATAGATGGATACCTTCTCTCAAATCTTTGCAGGTTCAGTCAGGTGAAATTCGCAGACAGTAGTACCCCCACATCTTGATATTTTTAATAAATTTAATTTACGATCACTACAATAAACAGTATAATTTGCATCAAAAAATTTCTGGTTAAAGACATCTGGTTGAGTCCAAGTCTCACTCAATGCTATCGAGTGATATTTTATTTCACTTACTGCTTTGTAGAATTCTAATATCTTTGTGATTATTGTTGGAAAACCATTTTTGTTGATGATTCTTAAATTGGTTTTTTCTCTACTTGCCCGGCCGATAAATTCTTGCTTGGCTGACTGAAACTCTTCTGATTGAAGTTTTGTTTTGTCAGCACGAACAGATAAACCATTAAATCTAGGAATACTAGTAACTACCTCTGTGTTTTGTAGAACGTTATTAATGAGATCCTATGATTTGCCAATAACTTTTATCGGTCGATTTCTCGCGTTATTGAACTTACCAAGGCGAAATATTTTGATGCTATCTGGATCGACACTAGAATGCAGGCATGTTAGACCCACAACATCCAAAGCAGTAGTCTTATCGTAGGTGTTTGAGTCTGGCTTACCAAAGTTAATAAAGTTGTTAGACCATAAGTAATATTTTTCGAAAAGCATGAGTTCATTCTGGATATCTCTAGTCTGTTTCTCCAGTGTGACTATTTTACTTGAGTTATTTTTTATTTGGGCAAATTTATCCAAAAGCTGTATCATTCATTCTGATATACCTTGTCTTCAATTATAAGGGTATCTTGGTCTCGCTGAGATAAAATGCGTCATACTTACTAAAAATCAATATAAATCCGAATTTATTTTTGTATTAACATTTATTAATCTTTCTAGGGTGGTTTAAAAGCCGTCGTGTGGACTGATACTGTGCAAACAATAATAATGTTTGTTGCGTTAATAATTACTGTAGTAATTGGAACTCTTCGCATAGGTGGAATAGATGAAGTATGGTTAAGAAATCTAGATGGAGGCAGAATTGACTTCTTTAAGTAAGTATTTTGTAATATATAGAGTGTTAATTTGAAAAGCAGCAATCTCGACTATCTCTTAGATAAAAATATTATCAGGGAGATATCAGAAAACTAATTAAGATATAAATAATTATTCAAAATATAGGTTTAATGTTTTAGTATGGATTTAGATCCAACCATACGCCACTCTTTCTGGACAGTGACTATTGGAAACTTTTTCTCATGGTTGGCGTCATGTTCTATTAATCAAGCAATGGTTCAAAGATGTTTAGCTATGCCCACGTTGAAGTCTGCCCGAATGTAAGAATGGTTTAGTAGACAATTTAATAAAGAGTTATTTCATTACTTAGTTAAAAACAAACTATACAGGTTGGTCCGAACTGTATTCGGGAAACATCGGCAGAATATTCTGCACATAAAAATAAGTAAAAAAGGTTTGTATAAATGTATGTCCTAAAATGCTTAGTTTCGGAGATACAGGGTGTAGAATATATATAATAATACAGAGTGTAGTTACATTTTTATTTCGATTTTTTCCAAATAATTTCTGAGCTAAAGACGATGTTGGTGCTAAAGACGATGTTGATGAAAATTGGTGTTTTAGTGATTTTTTTGATATGAGAAATTCGGTTTCGATGTTAGTATGGCTCCTAATTGCATTCATCTATGGGGTGTTTCAAAAGTTGTTTTTTTTTTGTCACGAGATTTTTAAAATATTTTTTTCTTTTCAATAAGTCTCTTTTGTTATATCCCGACATGTCTGAGATTATTAAACACGATCATGAAGAAACAATGTTAAAATTCCTTCATTTTCTGCTCTAAAATTCGATTTAAAAATTTAAAGACTACCGGCCTGCGACCTTATTTATAGTTATTAAACACCACTGCCAAGAAACAATGTTACACATTTTTTATACATATTTTTAGCTGTTTTAAAGAGTAATAACTTTTTGTCCGTACCTGTATAAAACAACCGAATGAAAAAAATATTCATTTTCCTCATTTTTTACGTAAAAATGGTGCCTCGGTAAAAGTAGCTACGAGTAATGGTTCTCAAGATATTTGGAATCGAAGTTGGCTGGATAGTTATTAGTAATTTATAATAGTAATAATAATTAATTTGAAATGATTTTGTACCAAAGAGTCAACTGAAACTGTTTTATCGTAGTTTTTTAGACAAATTCATAACTAGCTTAAAAAAATAAAAAGTTCACAAATTTATCATTTCAGTCAAATAACTATCTAGTCTACGTGTTTATTTTTTGTCAATAATGACATGTATTGACTATTTCCATTCAAAAATATCTTCAAAACGGTTGCTCATAACGATTTTCACCAAGAGACATTTTTTACGTAAAATATTATGGAAATGTATATTTTTCCACTATGTAGTTTTATACAGGTACGGACGAAACGTTATTACTCTTCAAATCAATTAAAAACACGTAGGTGGTGCCCTACAAGTAGGAGTCATATTGACACCGAACTCAAATTTCCCATGCCAAGAAATTATTTAAAAAAAGAAAACAAAATAAAATTGTTATTTTAGGACATAGGTACAGGTCAAATTCGACGCTTTTAATTGGGTCAAATTCGACGCTTTTAAATGGAAACACCCTTTTCTATAGGAGATAGACAAAAACTAATATCGGTGTCTGGAGCTCAATTTTTGTTAAAAATGTGACGGTGAAAACCGCATATCGATATCTGTTACCGTTTCGGAGTTACAGGGTGTTTTTCAAAAATATGCATTTTTAACAAATCGCTATAACTTTTTTGCTATGGAAAATGTTGTATTTTTATGAAAACATTTCCAAAGCACCTTTTTACGTAGAATTTAATGGTTTAAGTATATTTTTTTTAAATTAATAATTTAAGAATTATCAACAGATAATTTGATTTTTTATATGGGACACCCTGTATATTTTTAGTTTGTTGAAAAGAATTTAAAATTACCTTTCCAAAAATATAACACACTTGATATTTTCCTCGATACCTCTTCGAGATATAGAGTATATAAAAATTCGCCCGCTTTAAATAAGTAGGCTTTGAACGGCAAAAAAATCTAGCTGTGAGCATCAATTAAAACGAAAATGATATTTGCTATGAGAGATGCAGAATTTTATGACAATTAAAAATATATTTAACCAACATCAACACATTTAAACTATATCTAATAACAATAAAAATAAACAGCAAACCAAGACATGAGATTTTGCTACAGGTTTTCAACATATCGACCGACTTCTGTTATGGACAGACGAGGTAGTTTTTGAACATTTCTCGCGGAATTCATTAACTCAGTAGAGGTGAAAGATACCCTCTCATAACTGCTAAGTATTTCTAATTCTTGTCTAGATTATACGGAAGAATAAGGAACCTTTATTCTTCCGCAAATATATCCATAGGATTAGATCCATGGGCACTAAGTCAGGCAGCCTCGAGGGCTAAGGGCTGGGATCTTGGTTAGTTATTCAATTATTTTTGAAATTGGCTGCAAAAATTTGCTGATAACTTCAGCGTTCAGAGGCGGTGCGTCGTTTTGCTGGAAAAATATGTTTTCGAGTTAAGGGTTCCATTAAGGGTATATCATCAATCAAGGTCCAAAGCCTATACTAGTTAAAAGTGGTGAACTTTTAAAAATTCTATATTTCGAAGGGGATTATAACAAAATATCAAGTATGCTATATTTTTGGAAAGGTAATTTTAAATTCTTTTCAGTTAATTAAAAATATAGAGGGTGTCCCAAATAAAAAATCAATTTTTCTGTTGATAACTCTTAAATTACTAATTTTAAAAAAATTATACTTAAACCATTAAATTCTATGTAAAAAGGTGCTTTGGAAATGTTTTCATAGAAATACAAAATTTTCCATAGCAAAAAAGTTACAGCGATTTATTAAAAATGCACATTTTTGAAAAACACCCAGTCATGTTTTTGATGAAAATTGAGCTCCAGACACCGATATTAGTTTTCGTCTATCACCTATAGAAAAGGGTGTTTCCATTTAAAAGCGTCGAATTTGACCCACCCTGTACATTTATTTATACGAACTTTTTCACTTATCTTTATCTGCAGCATATGCTGCTGACGATTCCGGAGCTTAATTAGGACGGTCCTGTATATAATTATGTTTTTACTTCAATTTAATCTAATTTCTTTCATAACTACTTCCTAATTGTGGAACAAGATACATATACAGGGTGTCAATATATCGCATGAAGCTTTTTTGCAAATCCATGTATCATAGAGAGGTGTACTTGGGACGTTGGGAAGATGACTGTAACTGTACAATAATATGTTTTTGAAAAAATTACACATATTAATGGACAGTCTCCTAGTTCTAACAAACAAAACATTTATTTTGATGATCCTTGGAAAATTGATATATGTTTTAATATTAGGGTGCTAGTTTAAGACGATAATTTAAAAAAAAATAACATTAATATTAAAAGTATAAACTCGACACATTTAAGAATTCCAAAATATACGAAATATTTTTATTTGTTATGCGTTACTGAAACAAATTTTTATTTTAAAACTGAATATAGTATAGTCAGTGGCATCAAAAAAGGTTTTAGACTCCCATCAAAATTACCCCCGGTCTCGTACTTTGCCAGTCGTAAGTAGTCCACTGGAAAAGCTTAAATTCGAAAATTCGTATCCTCCACCCCACCGTTTATGAGAAACTCAAAAAATATGAATTCGGTTTTCTGACTGAACCGTAGGTCGCACAGAAAATTTTATGAAGCAAAAAATGAAGAGAATTATACTTTCTCTATATTTTCATCAAGTAACATACTTCTAAAACATAGGGGGACAAAGCTAAAAAAATTCACCCAAACGCAGTTTTTTGCATTTTTTCGGGTAAAACTATTTTTTACTGTCGTTACTTTTTAAAAGTAAAGAGCATAAGAAACCTATCAAATTGATGTGTAACTCAGTGGCGGCTCGTCAGGTGCAGTAGGTGAAGTGCCCCTTCACCGAAAAAATACTCAAATTAAAGAAAAAACTTTACTGCTTAAAATATTAATTTAGTTTAATATATTTCCATGCATCTAAATAATAAAATGGTAATTTTTTATAAGTTATTTATTTTTTCCGGGCGGACCTCTGCATAATACGTCCACCGCATCGTTAATTCTGGCCGAGAAAGTAGCATTATAGGCCCGCACGCGCCTACAAGCCAGAAGTGCAAGTGAAAATGTTTCTATTTCTGAGGCAAGCGGCTGCACGGTTTCGATGGTAACGTGACGTCAGCCTAGCGGCAGATGTAAATCCCCCCGCCCCGAAGTTTATTATCGGTGACCGATGTGAATGAGTTTTTGGTCTTATGCAGTTCTCTTCGTCTTCGTCTTCCTTTTGTGCAGGAACTGCGTGACGGCGGCGCATAATTTATGCATTTATGCTAATATTCGGCTACTTCGGCGAATAATTAACCGTAAAGACTGTAAAGCTGTTGTTATTTATTGTTGTTTGTGAATGGCTTTTGTTGATTTAACTTGTTAATTTTTGCCGATTTTTGCTGTTTGCTTTGTTGTTGTGTTTTAAAACTGTTTTGTGTGTGAGTATGTGTTAAAAATGAACACAATTAATGACTTGGCGTGCAATTTTTTGGAAACTCCCTTCAGACGGTGGACAGATGAAGATAAGAGGGATGTTTTATCTCAAGGGCGACCAACTGAAATTTAATAATAAATTGCAAAAAAGAAATAAGAAAAAGTGGTAAATCTTATAATATTAAATTTAAGTCTTCCTGGTTTTCTGATTTTAATTGGCTATGTAGTAGTATTGTTTACTATTTTATAATAAACATGGCCTTTGGAATAAAGAAGGGTTCACTGATTTCGTAAATATAACAAAATCTTTGCATAAACACGGAGATTCTGCAGAACATTTAAAATGTCAGTTAATGCTATTAAAAAAAATCAAAATACAATAGCCGATGCTTTAGAAAAAACGTTAGGCTCTATAAGCTTAATTTTAATGAAAATATTCATTTAAATAGGCTTTAATGAATATAATTAATTTATTAAATGACGATATTAGTGATAAGTTTGCATCAATAAAGAACAGAAAAATTGAGCTGATTTACAAAAATTAGTAAGGTTAGTAATATAAATCAATTTATTTTGGTCAATATTGCTTAGTAAACATTAATGTAATAATTGAATAATAATTGAATGGCTCCTCGGTTGTAACCAACAATTTTTTCAATATCGAAATTTCAGTGAAAAAACCGAGGAAAAAACGCTATACCTATGAAAATTACAACCTTATTTCACTGAAATCCCTATTTTAAAAAAAATGTTGGTTACAACGTTTTTCGGGGAAGCCATTCAATAATTACAGTGTTCGCCATAAAGTTGGATCCACATGGACGGTTTTTTTTGGTATTAGAGTTTAAAAAAAACTTTTTGTGGCTATCAATTCTGCTTTAAAAACAACTTAAAATGCACCAAGTCAAAGTTGAAACATAATTTTATTAGTCACTTTTTTTTAAAATAATAATAATTTAACCAGTTTTTAAAAATTTCTTTTAAATTATTTTGTATTTGACAGCTCCCAGATGTTACCTGTCAACTTTGGCTTGGTGCATTTTAAGTTGTTTTCAAAGCAGAAGCGATTGCCACAAAAAGATTTTTTAAAACTCTAATATAAAAAAACGTCCATATAGACCCAACTTTATTGTGAACACTGTATATAATGTTTATTATATTTAATTTATATTTAATTATATTTTCACTGGAATGCGAAATAATGTGTTTATCGAAAACTGGTTGTACCTCTTTTTACTTAATGCGTTTTAGCCTAAACTAAAGCGAAAATATTATAGGTATTAGTGTATATACAATAATTTTTTTTGGATTCTGGAAAACGAAATGTAGAGAAATTAATTCTCTTCATTTTTTGTTCCATAAAATTTTCTGTGGGGCCTACGGTTCAGCCAGAAAATGGAATTTATTTTTTTTTAGTTTCTCATCAACGGTGGGGTGGGGGGATACGAATTTTCGAACTTAAGCGTTTCCAGGGGACCACTTACGACTGGCAAAGTATGAGAGCGGGAGGTAATTTGATGGGAGTTAAAGTGCCAGATTGACTGTACTAATACGGGAAATCGTTAAACTGCAACAATTTGGAATGATTGTTCAGTTGTTTATATTGTCCCAATGTAAACAAATTCAATTCTGATTAGCCTAAGTGGTACATACAATTTACATAATGGGATAAATTTGCATCATTTACAATAAATTAAACCAAATACAAAAAGTAAATGACAGTACACAACTCTTGAATCACAGTCACAACTTTTAAATCGTTCTATAATTTCAAATAGAAGTATAAATTTACAAATATCTATGAAAAGGGTTATTAGTAGTGTATATTATAGTTTCTATTATTTTGCTAATGATTTCTTTTAACAGCACAGTGGGTATATTAGTAGTCGGCATTATGGCATTAGTATCTATGTGTTGTTTCATGGGTTTAGTCATATACGCCCAATATCATAAATGCGACCCGGTTACACGAGGTTGGATACAGAAGTCGGATCAACTTTTACCATATTTTATAATGGATACTGCAGGCGATATACCCGGCCTTCCCGGGATGTTTGTCAGTGGAGTATTTAGTGCTGCTTTGAGGTATTTATTGATGTATCTTTTATTTTTACCTAAATAAAATTATTTTTTTAATGTAGAGAAGCTTGTTTGTTTGTTTTTTTCTATATTGTTTTCTATCTGTAAATTTAAATTAAGACATGAGTGGTTTTTTCTTTGGATATGGCAGACAATGATTCAGTATTGAAACTAAAAGCATTCCGGAATTCCATTATCTTTATTTATTTTACTTACACAACGTTTCTGTCAATAATACTTCTGACCGATATGATTGAATATAATGGAAGACCGAAATTCTTTTGGTTTCAATAAGTGGTCACGGTTTACAAATAGTTTACATGTTTATTCGACACTCAAACGATGGCTTAGTCTGATTAACAACTTAAATAAGTTGCTCTACTTTTTATCTATCTAAAAAATTAGATTATGTAAAATGTTATTAAACTGACTCTTGGCTACCGAATTACGACAATAATTTAAATATATGTTATAAAGTATCATCGCCTGCTCTTTAAAAGATATTTTTTTTTCCTTTTCAAACTCTCCTTTCTCAGGAGAGAGTTTCATTGCCTAGGCTGCCAGGGCAATTCTGGCAAAGTACCTTTTTAATTTTATTCTCAATATTTCCTAAAAACTAAACTTATATTATAAATCAGACAAACAAAAAGACAACACACACACTAAATACCCATATCTGGAGCTGGACTCCAGAAACCTTGTTACGAGATACATAAAATGTATTTATTTTACTTAAAAAAATTGTGTGTGCACTATGTGTGCATATTTGAAGTGATACTTCTTACTTCCGTCTGTCTACCCGTCTGACTACTATATTCGTGTACGTCTATAAACAAAAAGACAACACACATACTAAACACCCATGTCTGGAGCTGGACTCCAGAAACCCTGTTACGAGATACATAAAATGTATTTACTTTACTTAAAAAAATTGTGTGTGCACTATGTGCGCATATTTGAAGTGATGTAAGTGATGTATATACACTAAATGATGAAGATACTTCTTACTTCCGTCTGTCTACCCGTCTGAGGGCTATATTCGTGTACGTCTATCCACGTACCGAATTTCATTCCAATTAACCCTTGATTAAGAAAAATCCTGATAATTTCGTCCATTTAGAGGCATCGCATCGGTTCGAAACATCGAGGGCGTCAACATGTAGCCCGTCCCCAATTATGCCGAAATCGACCCACATTTTTCTTCAATGTCAAATCCTTAGCCCCATCATAATGAAGATATAAACGAAACGACATATCCAACTTTGCAGGGTGGGACTGTGTGCACAGTTGCTCACATAACCTACCCACCAAATTTGGTCGCGATCGGACAACATCAACTTTTGACGTATCTTACGTCAAAACTAACTTTTACAGTGACACGTACGTACACGGTCAAGTTGGCCTTGGTCCAATCTATATCGACATACCAAATTTTATTTAAATCGGACGATTTTTTTATTTCATTCATCGATGATGGGGTTTCGTAGTGCACGAAACGTTGTCAAAATATCATGAAAATCCTCTTCGAGCAACATCTACATTCCGAGTTTCAACCCCCTAGCTCACATAGGGCCAGAGATACGACGCCCCAAGATCGTTACCATTTTTCTGACGCTTTGCGACCTTGGCGTGGCTTCAGCTCGTGTGTTGCAGACTTGAATTTTTACTCCCATCGCGCGTAAATAAGTTTCACTTCAAAAATCTAATTTACCGAAGTTATTTAATGATTAGTCACCAATGCACCTGGTTGATGGTAACCTAACCTAACCTCACAAGCAAGAGTTATGCCACTATAAGAATGGGCTTGATAAACTGGACTTGCAAATGTTACTTGCTAAGTCATAATACTGGCAATATTACAGAGATATCTAGTTTTTTCAAGAAAATATACATGTAGAATGTTTAGGAGGGGAGTTATCACCGCGACCTTACAGATCTATTGTGTGTTCCCCGTTCCCCGTTCTTGAGTTATAACGAGTTATAACTCATCATACAGTCTCAGGGCTTTAATAAAAGCCAGTATCTGAGACGGCTCCTCAGAGGCCAGCTTTCTTTGATATCGAAAATATACATACCACGATGTCAAAGAAAATCAGTTTTACCTTCTGAAACAAAACAGGCGAGAAATATTTACTAATTATTTTATTTTGTCACACTATTTTAAATTGAAATTTTCGTAAGAAATAAATTAAAAAATATTCTTGAGGTTATTCCCTCATTACTTCCTTAACTATTCCTTAGTAAAGGTATTTCAATTATATAGTGAAAATATTATTCTGTCAATTTCTATATACAATGTAGTTAATATGTTGTTAGTCTATTCTGTATGTTGTTTCTAGCGACTAAATATATGTGAATCATAAACAGGCAAATTATGACATTTATTTTTATTAATATATGTTTTGTAATATATAAGTTTCGAAATCCATATTTTTTAATATAAAACGATTTAGATAAATATTACAAAAATTATTTCTTTACAAGAATAAAATAAAGTTTTCTCAAGTGATGTTCATAATTTGCTAAAATATGATTTACACTTTTTTTCAAATTTTTATATTATTTATTTTTCTTAATTACCTTTTTAGTTCAATGTCCACTGGACTAAATTCAATGACCGGAGTAATTTTCGAGGATTTAATTAAGCCAAGAATAAAACAACCATTAACTGAAAGCCAGGCTAGTTTCCTAATGAAACTTATAGTCGTAATAGTGGGGACTATTTGTGTAGCTCTTGTGTTCGTAGTAGAAAAATTAGGAGCACTTATTCAAGCAGCCGGTAGTTTAGGAGCAATAACAGCTGGGCCTCTTCTAGGAGTGTTTTCTCTTGGAATGTTTTTCCCTGGTGCTACATCTCAGGTAAAATTCTAAATACGTTTTAAGCATGGGTATAATGGTAATGCTTAAAACTAGTTCTGTACTTTAAGCTAGTAGATGTTACGTATTTATAGAAAAAAATATACAGAGAAATGTAATTCAAACATGAAATAATAATACCTGCTTTGACATTTTCACTATAATTTAAAGAAAAACATTAAAAATAGTAATACATGAAAACTAATATCAAATTTTGTGTATTGGTATCTTACAATATGTATTATTTCTTCAGGATGCAAACAAAAAAATCTGGAGAAAAGCGTTATGCCCTGGATTGAAATAGTTTATAGGGCTTTTTTATATCGATAAATATATTATTTTCAAAACATTATAAAATACTTTTAAAATTATATAACTATACAGGGTGAGTCCTAAATAAGTGCAAATATTTTCAATATTTTCAATTTGTAGAAGAAACATATTTTCTCTTTACCGTTTTTCTTACAAGTCCAAAATAATACCAGTAGTTATTTTACTTTAAAAATTTCCAAAAAAAATGTTTTTTGTTTAAATTTTCAGAACCACTGAATCCTTTTAGGGGTTTCTTTCTTGTAAACTTAATCTACTACCTATGTTGCCATATTATCAAGAAATTATGTTTTTTAACTAAAAATAAAGAAAATTGCATAACATTTTTCAGGAAATACTAAATTTTTTTTTTTTTCGCGAAAAAACCTACACATACATAATCGTGTTTCTGGGGTCCTAATTCGAAAATATTATTTTAATAAATCAAGCAATACCTACTAGGTATATTAAGTGAACAATACCTACATACAATATCCATAAATAATTGTTTTTAATGTGTAGTAATAGGGGAGTCCAAAATACTAAATAGGGATTAACTCGAGCATCATGGGACCTATTTTATTGTGAAAATTAGATGCTAAAAAAGTTTATCAATGCTTTTTTACGGGTGGGGGAGCATGTACAGGTTTTCAAACGTGTTTCATGTGTTTCTGATGTTAAATGTAGAAAGAGAGGGAGAGGAATTAATCACCGCGACATTAAACATGTATTGGGTCCACCTTTTTGGGATTATAGCTCGTCATACAATCTATAACTCATCATACATGGGGATTTTCCTGTTGTAGGGGGGACAAGGTATTTCCCATCCTAGAACAGCTGTTCTTTCTCCGAAAAGTGCAGTCATCTACCTCCTACGAGGGGACATCCTTCAGGTCAATTCCTATTGTGAGGATTTGACTATGACCCTCCTCCCTCGAGTTGGTGACTCGCTAACTCGAGTACATTGGAGTTCTGGCAAAGCTGGTGATACGTCCCTGCTTACCTCCCGGTGTTGGACAGCTTTATATCCTGGCTTTTCCTCTTCTTGTCGGAGCAGAGGTGAGATGTTCTCGCTCTTTCTCTCTTGTCCTTTTTGGTGGAGATGCGGCTGGCTGTTTCTTAGTACCTTGACTCAATTCTTTTTTAAAGTGTTTTTGTTTTTGCTTCCTTTGGAGCATTCCTGCTCCGCCTAGTTGACCAAGGCCGGGTAGAGGAACGTGTTTCTGATAAAGGAGGGATATTAATCTGCCGGTTTGCATGGTGGGGATAGCCGTACGATGGGATAGAAAATAAAAAAGAAAAAATATTTGAGTGTGTCCTATATTCAAAAGGGATGTTAAGTGAACCCTAAAAATGCGTCTAAAACTCATAGGAAATTTTTTAAATAGAATTAGTTCTCAGCACCACACTTTTTGATAATTTTAGCTACTTCGACAATTTTTTTCAAAATAAAAGAAATAACCACGCTCCAGTATGTTCAGTTTTGCAACTCTGTGACTCTCCCATTTTTTTATGACACGCTTAAATGGCCAGATTATTTAATGCACACTTTTCTGCATATACTTAAATGACCTTGTATCTGACACGCTCGAGTATTTCTACCGATCAATTACTCTGACCGGCTGCTCTTCATGCACAGCCCTGTATAAAAAAAGTAAAAATTTCAGTTAACGTCTCCTTTTTGCTGCCAGGGCTAATCTGGACGGGGCCTACTTTGTTTACGTCGAATCCGATCGGTCCTCGGCCATATCATGGTCAAGTGTCTAAATCGACTCTTACTCACGAGTTATCCGATCTCATCCGGCCTCGAACCGGCGTGAATGAGCAGTGTGTGTCAATAGGTTTTACACTTTTGCCTTTTTTTGGACAACAGCACGATACAGAGTTTCGAACCGGTCGTCCATCCATTAGTATCGCCTTACGTCGCTTAACTTCGATGTTCTAATGGGAACCGGTGTTTTGACGTAGCTGGGCCGTTGCTCTTAAAAAACCCTGTATAAAAGGTTCACGTATGGGGGTTACTTAACAGGGTGCAAAGTTTCTCCCGCTTATGTTATTCTGCCGCGCTTGAGTAAATCACAAAATCCCCGCTTGGGCTCTCTTATTATAAGGTGTTCTAATGTTATATCAAAAGTACATTTAGATAAATCCTAAAAATTTCAGACGATATTAACGTATGTGAATTGAAAATAGATTTATATTCTAGGGAGCACTTGCTGGGGGTTTATTAAGCGGATCGCTCATAACGTGGATATCAATCGGAACGCAAGCTCAAATGGCTCAAGGAATAGTTCGATTTCCCCAAAAACCAGTTTCTGTAGAAGGTTGCAGCGCAGACTGGGTCGCTGAATATTTAAGACTGACTTTATCTCCAAATACTAAGCCTATACCAGTGGAAGCACCATTTTTTCTTTACAGAATATCCTATATGTACTACACAGCTATTGGAGCATTTCTAGCTATTATTTTAGGACTAGTTGTCAGCTACTTGACTGGTAAGTAATGACTAGTAATATGCGATAATTTGACAGTATATTCTTATTTGAAAAAATATTTTTTTACAGGTTTTAACAAAGAAAAGGAGATATCAAGGGATCTTTTATCACCAGTTATACACAGATTTCTAAAAAATAAACAAACATTTGAAAATAATCACTTTGAGCTGACGTTAAAGCCAGAGATATGCACCTAATGCTTTAGAAATATCCACCCAAGATTCGAAAATTACTTACTATAGAAAAAGAACCAAAATATGCACTACACTTAGTCATCATCATATTTGATATGTCAATTAAAGAAAAAAAAATCTCACTTCTCTTAATTTAAACTTTGACCATTTTAGCATTTGAAGCTCTATACATATTTATGTGCACATTGAAAAAAAAATAAAATTAGAATAATTTCTTAATCCTGTTTGTAGGACGCTGTTAACAACGAAATATATATAAGTAAATAAGTATTTTGTGTAGATATGATTGTTTTGTCGAAACTACATTGTTTCTCATAGTACATGATCCGGCTGCAGGACGTATATTTTAATCAAAACCTAATTTTTACGTAATTTATGAATAGGAGAATATGCTTTTAACAGGGTGTCAATCAAAAAGTTGCCGCAATTATATTTAATTAATAATAATAAAGTGGCCGGCCGTAGCGCAAGCAGTTAGTGTGTCGATCTGCGGTGGGAGAGATGGGATGGTACTGGGTTGAATCCTCAGCAAAAACGGTCGCTTATTTACATAAATAAAAAAATATTAATTTATCTAAATAGAGCGAACAGCGACCAGCCCCTCAAGGAAGGCAATGGCAAACCACCTTGAGTATATTTGCCTTGTACAGCCTCTCAAATAGAGCCGTTCGGATTCGGCGATAAACTGTAGGTCACGTGCACTTGTGAAACATTGATGACTCACATCACAAGCATCTGTAATAAAAAACTATAATAAAAAGTTCTATAATAAAAAAGTTAGGAATTTTATATAAGTGCCCACCTAAAGTACCGTATGATCAAAAAAAAGGCGTCGGCGATGGTTATGAAATGAAGATCGCTGTTCTTTTTTATATGTAAATTTATATGGGAACTGTCATCGATCGTCATTTTCCATCCAACTTGACACCAATTTTTCTTCTATCATACGGTATATATTAGGATGTATTTCAGAAAAATATTATAACTTCAACAGGGTGGCTCAAAAAAGTGTGATTGGATCAGGATGATTTTTTTAAATGGAATACCCTGTATATAATTCTTTTGTTATATGGAGAATTAAAAAAATGAACATCTTTTTATATTTGAAGTATGTCAAAATCTGTATCTTGTGTTAAGAGTTAATATCAAAACGCGAATATTTGCAAAACCGTTAAAAATTTTGAAATGCTTTAAATATAAAAATTTTCAATTTTTTAATTTTCCATCTAACAAAGAAATAATATACAGGGTGTTCCATTTAAAAAAATCATCCCGATCCACTCACACTTTTTTGAAGCCACCCTGATGAAGTTTTAATATTAAAAAAAAAAAGAAAAATAATTTTATATTTTAAAAAGTTTGGCATAGAATTTTGAATACTGTATGGTTTAAAATTACGATATTTATAGCAAAGTAAGTACAGACCAACAATAGTAAATATTTAGGATAGTTTTGATTTCAGAACATTTTTTGTATTTTTAATAATTAAAAAAACTGAAAACACTTCTTTTCTTATATATTTATTTATATTTTTAAAACTATCCAAATATATTTAATAATACATATAATCGCGATAAATGAAGAAAGCTGTCATTTTATATGTAAAATTATAAAGAAAATTATATGGGAAATGTCGCCATTTGGATCGTTCGCCATTTCCAAGCTATCTGGACGCCGTTTTTTTTTATCATACGGTATCTTCGGATTATGTAAAGTAATCAGAAAGGAAGACAAAAATGCAATAATATACAGGATGTTCCATTTAAAAAAATCATCCCAATCCACTCACTTTTTTGAGCCATCCTGTAGAAGTTATATTTTCCTGAAATACATCCTATATATACTATATACATCCATAATTTGGTTTGGCACTTATACAAAATTCCTAAGCTTTTTATTATAGGAGCTATTATATGCCCGACTCATTGTTGCCGGGCCTTTATAAAGTAGTTAGTATAAAATTTGAACTCTGTGGCAAACCCTATTTGCAGCAACTTTTTGATAAGCATCCTTCATCATGCACAGAATAAAAATAGCTTTAATTTGACATATAAATCTATGATATAAATGATCAAAAATTTTTATAAACGTAATGTCGTCTCCAAAATCAGTTATTATTATTATTAATTAAACATAGTTGCGGCATCTTTTTGATTCCCACCGTATATTCATAAATATACGTAAAAATTAGGTTTTGGTTAAAAATACGGTGAGCGTAATAATCCTGCAGCCGGATCTTAGTCTATCAATTTTTCTCAAAAATAAGAAACAAACACTATAATTATAATAATTTGTTGAAATGCTATTATTCTCGTTCATAATTTAATTTTTTGTATTAATTATAGTTTTTGCATAATTTTATTTAATATTTGAATAAAAAACTATACCTTATTTTCACTTTCATTTTCGATAGACAGTCAAAGCACTGCGTTAAATGTAGAAGAATTTTTTGAGGACGTAACGCAAAAAAAACATACGTTAGGGTGGGGACACACGAGGCGGCTTTTCGTCGACGCGGCGCGGAACACTGAGGCGGATGTCTAGCGGGAGAAAACATCAGTAGCGGTGTTTGAGATTTAAATAAAATTTAAGAACGTAGCAAATGGTCTATACAGGGTGAGTCTTAAATAAGTGCGAATATTTTCAGGGGTTGTATATTTCGACATCAGGAACACGTCTAGGAGTTTTTTTTCGCAAAAAAAGATGCTGAAAATCGTGCATTTTCTTTTTCATTTCCCTGTATATTTTTCGAAAACTTTTTAGAACTGCCTGTTCACTGCAAATTTTCCCACGGTATAATTTCTTAATCTCTGATATTACCATAGTTACGGCTTTACTCGAGGGGTGTCTCACTCGGGTAAAAAATGTACACGTACTGCCAAAATATACTTCCACTGCTAAGCGACTGCCAATGACTATGACGAAGACTGCCTATAACTGCCATGTAATTATTATAGGCGACTGCCATAAGACTGCCAATGACTGCCAGCGATTGCCAAGAAAATGTACATGTAATTCCAATAGTGAGACACCCCTCGGCTTTACTCCATGGTTACGGCACTAAAAGGGATGCAAATACAGAAAAAATCTGGTGGCTCTCAAAATTGTTAATTATCGCCATATTATTCTGAAATACCGAAATAAAAATGTCAAAATGCAAAAAAAAGGAGAAAAAACAGGTATATCCAATTAAATGTTGTATAAAACCTAAATCTAAACTATTATTTTTTTCTTGTAGGAAGAAAATTAATATTTAAGGATATCTCTGGTTTTTCCCATTTACGAGTGGGCTACTCTGGTTTTTTCCCTTGTACGGCAAAATAACCAAGCTGTAATATCTCTGGGACTAAGCGTATTATTGCTTTCTTTTTTCTCGAATGACGCTAACATTTGCCTATAAAGTTATATCGCTATTTTAATTTCTATGAAAATGTAACATATCTGGTTTTTCCTGTGTAGTCTTTATTTGTCCACTCCATTTATTGCTGTAGGAACGATTTAGGTATGTTGCCAATATTGAAGTTATTAATCTAAATTTATTATTATACTAGTTGAAGCTTGCCGCATCCGCCACGACATCAGGAAAAAAAAACTTTTTATTTTTTTTTAATTAAATGAAAAACAAAAGATCCGGCGGCGACAGTTTTTAGAATAGCCAATTAGCTATATTTTAGTAAAAAAAGCAACTTTCTAGAGCAAGTTGTTACTTCAGTAGAGATTATTGTTTTAACGTTTTAAATTATCCGCAAGTAAAGCTTGATTTTCATGCATCCGTTATCCGACGATACGATATTAATTTTATTGGTTGAATTTAAAGACTTCGATTGGTTTTGGTTAGAAACGGTTAACCAATCGAAGACTTTAAATTCAACCAATAAAATTAAAATCGTATCGTCGCACAACGGATGCATGAAAATCAAGCTTAACTCGCAAAACACTACGATCCGGAAATAAACGGGACATACGCTATAGGCCAGTCAATCTGGAGATTGAGGTGGAAAAAATTAGTAAGAGAATCTCTAGTAACCGATTAGTAACCGATCTCAACGCGAATGTGTAGATAATGATCTCCTATTTAACCCCTCAAAAGTCCCATTCGGTCCCAGTGGGGGAAGTTTGAAAAAAACCGCCGCCATCTTGGATTTTTTTTTCAAATATCTCCGTTCGCATAACTTTTATCGAAAAAACTAAAGATATTTTTTTTGTAGAGAATTTAGAATATTTTATCTTCAATAATTTTTTTCTAAAATAAATAGTAATAGAGATAGAGCAATTTTTTACTATACATTTTATAAATTTTCCAGTTTTTTAAACCAATCAGCTATAATTTTTGCGTTGACAGTATAGCATTAATATAGATAAACCAAGTATAAATTTAAGCATTAAAACAATTAAAAATAACGTTTAAATATTATTTATTAAATAAAATTATTGTTAAAAAAATTATTATTAAATTAAAGTTATTAAATAAAATCTGCTATGACGTCATCCTGAGCGTCAGTTTCGTCCTCATCTAAAGGGCCCCATTCACGTTGAGATCGGTATCGATACATGTTGCAAGTACCAGTATCTTGACACAAATCTCACAGTGTATTTGTCTGTCTCAGTATCGCTGTATCGGTATCGGATGGTATCGCCGTCTGTATCAATGTAGTTCGATACCAAATGCATGCAACTGATACATGTCGCAACGTGTAGGTTGATGTTATTATGTATCGCGATACCAAAATATAAACAGTGTCGTTTCCACTCGTTTCCAACATGGAAGATTGAGTTTTGGGAGATCTGGTTCGTCGATCATTAATTCTTGTAGTAAATTTGCCACTGTGTATTTGTTTCTCTCACGTAACCATTTTTTAACCCATATTCTTTTTCGTCTTTTTTTCTTTTTTCAAATGCCTGATAATACAACTGCCACTGCTACAAGCACCGGCATGGCAGGCAGCACCATTTTGGTTTTCAATCTGAACACTGATGTTTCCTGATTCCGTCTCAACGTGTAGGAATCTTTGAAACATGGATATACATCTCAGATACATGTATCGCTTCTTGTTGCGATACACGTATCGATACCGATCTCAACGTGAATGGGGCCCTTTAGATACAAAAGTTTGTGCAACTGATTCCGTAGCACTGATCACACTTTGAACAACATTTAAAGCCCAGTTTTCTGTAACAGCAATTTTTAGATCACTGACTCTTTCCAATTGCAAACAATTAATTTTAGTAAGTCAGAAGGCGCCACATCTTCTGTCGATTAAATAGGTGTCAGATTGCCGTTTTTAGTCTTTCTTCCAGCCATATTGTAAGGGATCTAACTTGTTACCAATCCATTCTTGAATCAAAAAAGTACAACTTATAACATTTTCAATAACAGATAACTTTACAGTTACCTGTAATGCAATTTATAAAGATCCTTCGAACCTATTTCGAAGATGTAGGTATACCTGTATACGTAGCGGCAAGGGATGCTGATTTTCTTATCGCCTCAATAACTGTGGAATTATTTATATCAAAAAAACATATAACAATTATTGTCTCAGAGGATACCGATATTATGGTTTTACGGATATATCATTCCAAATGTAAAAATATATCCATGCTTCGTCCGGAAAAAGCAGCAAAAGGTGATGATATATCCAAAATATCTGAGGTACGGTAGACAAAATGGAACCTTTAAAAAAACACATATTGTTTTTACATGCTGTATCGAACTGTGATACGACCTCCATTTTCTTTAAAAAATAAAAAAAAATGTGCCTGTCGGTACTGAAAAAACATAACGATGTTTGGTTTGCTTTGGTTTGGAAAAAAATGCTAAGATGACTTGTTTCAGCCAGGATT